CCCCCCCCAACACACACACCCACGCAAGTATTTTTCCGAAGTGATCGTGTTTGCTATATGCTACGTATATTCTTTATCAGCAAGTTTTTATTGGTAATTGATTTTTTTCTTATGAGATGAAACAACCAAAAGGCAGGTACTCTATTGGTAGTTTATATATTTAAATAGTTAGATGTATAAACCCACACTTGTGGAAATTTTGTTTCTAAATATTTGAATCAAAAGAGGGCAGGCGTGGCAGAAACTAATATTGAATCCCATTACTAATTTCCTTATTAATGTTATTTGCTGTTATTTACCAATTTCCTCACCTAAAAAATAACACATATTATATTCTTTTCCTTTAATGATCGATGTGGATTCCGATCGGACTCGTCGTGATTTTTTGCAACAAGGACAACAACGAATAAGGTATAAAAGAAGTCAACAATTTTCACGGTCACAACCACAATAATCTTTGGCCCCATTCACTCAATACTATAATGATTTTGGTGTATCTGAAAACGATATAGGTCCCTAATAAGTTATTATGCTATTTACCGTAGTTTTAAATTTCATGTATTTCCATTTAATGTATTTTCAATTATAGCAACATCTAATATTTTATATTCGCACCTTTCAATTGTAGCAACATCTAATATTTTATATTTGTACTATTCATTTTTTGAGATGATTATATATTTTTTGTATAATTATAACTTATAATAAAATTAACTTACAATTTTACATAAAAATAATAAATGCAAGAAAATTAATTTATCAAAATTATACACCAAAGTTAAAATGTAAAATTAATATTATAAGGATATAACATAAACATAATTAGATATATATAAAGAGATAAATTAAAAGAGTTAAATAATAAAATAATAGAGAACAGTAATAAAAGAGATGAATAGTTTGAAGTGACACTATTCATCACCATTTTGCAGCCAAAAATGGGAAGCATTGGAGCCAAATTTCTAAAAAAACTGACTGCATTTATGACAAAATGCAACAGCGTTGGAGATGACTTTAACACTTTTTCCCTTCAATTTCTACCGAGCTAATTGTTAACTATTTATAGTTTGGAGACATCTCAGTATATACCAATTGTGTTACCGAAATGAGAATCCGCAGTATTAGAATGGCCAAAGGGTCAACTATTGTCATAAAAGGTTGATTTTTATATTTGCATTTATTATTATTTTCAGTGTTTATATACCAATTAGATCCAATATCCTATAAATGAATAACTCTTCTTATTGTTATTTTCACTATTTAGGTACCTTTTCCGGTCAACATCTCATAAATGAATAGGTCCGACTTCATTTTAATTACCTTTCCCATAGTAATTTACGGTTCAGCATGTGCTAAAAGTTCCTCTTTTTCTGTTATTTTTATTCCAATGAACCAAATGGAGCAGCAAAGCAAAATTGAGGAATAATTGCCAAGAATATAAGAAGTGGATTAATTTACTTCCGTAACAATTACTGATTCTTGATTATGTCACGACCCAAACCGCGACGGGTACCCAGTACCTTACTCAACCGAGTACCAATATTACATATCATTCTTATCGTACTGTCATTGGCAAATGGGCCAAACAAGCCGTCATGGGTTAACCAGAATAAACATAAGGGAATACTCAATATAAGACGACCCAATCTGATACAAAAACTTATACATGTGACATAGGGCCTATAAGACCAAAATTACACTGAACATAGGCCGACAAGGCCATACAATCTTTCACGTATACGACATATGTCTACAAGCCTCTAAGGGTACATAAATGTCATAAAAGTCGGGACAGAGCCCCGCCAAACCAATCGACTCATGTCCTAATCATACTGACCAATAGCAACTCCGGAGCAAATGGAGCACACCAACATCTTCCGCTGAACTGATAGCCTACTTGGAGGACTCTCGACCTGTCTATCGGGACCTGCAGGCATGAAACGCAGCATCCCCAGGCAAAAGGGACGTCAGTACAAATAATGTACCGAGTATGTAAGGAATAAAAATCAGTAAACAATAGACATAAGAAAAATATGGAGTAAAAGACTCGACATGTATGTCTGATTAACTCTGTGAATCATTAATATTATAATGTCATGCATATGCATATAAATATCATACCATATTTAGGTATATGTGTTCATAACACCATCAAGCCTCTGAGGGCATCCCATCATATCATCTCGGCCACTGTGGGCAAATCATCAACGTATACTAGCTAATCAGGTGGTGGTGCGTATATAACGACGTAACGANTATGAGAAGTACCTCAATAAAATCTCTCGGAACGTCATAAGACCATTATGCCTCTGATTAATATCATAAAATAAACTTATCAACTTACGTATTTTCTGAGACCCATGAACGGACGATGGAATAATAAGACATATGGGAATCAAGAACATAGGCATCTCTAGTATTTCTATCTCTTTCATAACCTCCCTTCCCCATAGTTATGATTCACATCCACAACTTGAAGCTCTATTATAATACTTGCACCTCTGGTGCATATACAATCCGGTGGGAACTTCATACTGACTTTTTATAAGGTTGGTACTCTTCTAATTGGCTTTATCGTAGAGTTGTTATAGAATATGGTTGTTGTACTGTATCTCTTGTACCTCTGATATTAAGAGTGATCCTACAATGTTCTCAATCACAATTTCTATTATTTTCTGGGTTCAATAATCAGACTCCTGATTTACTTCGTTGTTGTAACTCTTTAGTTTCCTTTTTCTTCTGATCAATCTTTATGTAGGCTTAAGCTATCTTCCGATCTGTGGCTCACAGTATTGTTCATTGCTTTAGCCTTACATGGATGCTATGTAATATCCATGATACAATCTTCTAACAATTCAATCCTTTGTCTATAACCTTGGCTCAATTCTTTCTTTTAACTTATACCGAAATCTTCTACGGCTGTATGATTGTCAATATATATGCTGCATGGATAATACTCTGAAATATTAAGTGCGTTCATAACGTAACTAACTCTGGATCATTGATTGAATAATTCCTTTAGTTCCTTCTCAACTTTCTTTAATTGTAGGCAATTACTTTTTCTGGTCTTTATGTTCCCTTGTTGCGTGCATACTTAGCTTATCTTAGTTCCCACGCATGGCGGAGTTTTTCGCTCAATTCATATGATCTCGAATATTACTTTTGATTTTTCTTCCCATTCCTTAGCCACGGTAAGTGCCACTTTCTCATGGAGTGCATACAATGTTGTAGTGAGACTGCTTTTTTTTTTTTACATGAACATTTCCTCTTTAGGTCACTGTGCTTAGCTTGAAGCCTTCTTCCTTATTTCCTCAGCTAGTCTTTCGTTGTAGTACTTAGGGAAGACCTTCTGACTCTTGTAAAGTTGTGAGCTTATTACATTATATACTTGACGGAAGTTTTTGATGTTCTTCCCCGTGAGACTATCTTTTAGAATATTTCTCAAGGGTCACAATATCGTATCTGCGAGACTGAATTCCCATGTTGGGGTTCACTATGTTTATCTTGCACGATCTGTTGATTTGTCTGTAACCTCTTGTCTAGCCATAACTAGACTCTTTCCGAATCAACTACTAACTGCTCGTTGATGCATTCCCATACTTGTATTCCGCGTAATCCCTCTTGGGTTATTCCCTTTGTCTTAACTTACCTCTCGCACTGGCTCCTTATTTATCAATAACATCTCAGGTAGGAACCCTTACTTTCTTTCCTTGACATCATGTTTGTATAATGTTCTAGAATCGTAGCATATCAATAGGATTTGAATCAGTGCAATCTCATCCTTTTTCTCATTTTTTATCGCATTCTTCCTTTATCATTCCATAGTTACTACAACCGCTTAATTCTGACTTCATGCCACATCATACCATATTCCCCCCCCCTTAGGGGTGTACTAAGA